CTTTTGTATAAGGTTAGCAGTAGCAATTCTATAATCACTGCTCTCCAGAAATAAAACCAAACCAAATAATTACTACCATTATGTCTGCCTTTATAACTCTGAACAGGCCCAATAATAAGGCAGGGCTCTTACACTGCATTTTAGAAGACAGAGGTAATTATTAGATAGTGTTTACTAAAGATACATTATGTGAAATGTTCATTCCATTAAACATTAGTTCCCAGAATATTGGGGGGGGAGTTATACATAGTAATTCTGACAAATTAACCAACACTGTATATTTAGACATATTAAGATAATCACAAAACAGTATTTTGATGTTTTTTACATTCAGAAAAAGAATGAAAACCAATACCCACCAAACACAAGTTAAAACAACATTCACAATTTCAAATGAAACATTTGATCTATTATTTCATTATTATTTGGTGGATTCAATAATATAAAGGAAAAAATGGGGCGCCTGGGTGGCTCAGTCATTAAGCATCTGCCTTCGGCTTGGGTCATGATCACAGGCTCCTGGGATCGAGCCCCACATCAGGCTCCCTGCTCAGTGGGAATTCTGCTTCTCCCTCTCCCAGTCCCCTTGCTTGTGTTCCCTCTCTCGCTGTCTCTCTCTCTGTCAAATAAATAAATAAAAATCTTAAAAAAAATTTTAAAAAAGGAAAAAATTACGGTTTCAGATTTCAGGCTGATTTTGAGATTCAATACATTATTATAAAATAAATTTTTTTTTAAAGATTTTATTTATTTGATAGAGACAGCCAGAGAGGGAACACAAGCAGGGGGAGTGGGAGAGGGAGAAGCAGGCTTCCTGTGGAGCAGGGAGCCCGACGCGGGGCTCGATCCCAGGTCCCTGGGATCATGACCTGAGCCGAAGGCAGACGCTTAACGACTGAGCCACCCAGGCGCCCCTATAAAATAAATATTTAAGAAGTGTTTAATTAGAAGGATATCTTGGTTTCTTCAAACCATGTTTTCAAAAAAATTTTTTTTTAATGTTTCATTCCAAAAATCTTTGAAGAGATTGCAAGACAAACCCTTATTTTGGCAAATATCAATTGTAGAATATTAACCCTAATTGAGTATCAACATACTTGGAAAAGAATACAAGACAAATGTCAAAATCTTTTGATGAGGGCGCCTGGGTGGCTCAGTTGGTTAAGCGACTGCCTTCGGCTCAGGTCATGATCCTGGAGTCCTGGGATCGAGTTCCACATCAAGCTCCCTGCTCGGCAGGGAGTCTGCTTCTCCCTCTGACCCTCCTCCCTCTCATGCTCTCTGTCTCTCATTCTCTCTCTCGCAAATAAATAAAAAATTTAAAAAAAAAATCAAAATCTTTTGATGAAACAGTTTGATTTTGAAAATAAAAATGGAGGGGCTCCTGGGTGGCTCAGTTGGTTAAGCTCTTGATTTCAGCTCAAGTCAGGATCTCAGGGTTGTTAGATCAAGCCCTGCGTCGGGCTCTGCGCTGGGCATGGAGCCTGCTTAAGAGTCTCTCTTTGCACCCCTCCAACTTAAAAAAAAAAGAAAAGAAAAATGGAAGCATTACCATATATGAAGGTTATTTCAAAGTTACAATATTACTATGTTCAAAATATTAAGTAATTTGGGAGATAGATCTTTGAAAGAAAACATGAAAGTATCATATTAATTTCTCCTAATTTCCTTTAATAAATTCAATGCATTTTCTCTTCTACCTCATTAAAATATTTCAGAAAGTGTCCCTTTATAGGCATTTACTAAATAGAATATTTCAATGACTTTTCAAAGAGCTGAACAACACAATTTCTAGGGAACTTTTCATTTTCTTTTTAAAATTATTTCTACTTCAGAATAGCCATAAATCAAACAATGATATCATGATCACTTGAAGGAAGTTTGGAATTCTACTTCAGTGTAGACTTTGGTGTATACAGATTTAATCCTGGATGCACTATTAACAGCTATACACTTCTGGGCAAATAATTTAATCTCTCTGAATTTGTTTCCTCATATAACATGAGGATAAAACCTACCTTGCAAGATTGTGAGATTTGTGGAAAACACAATGTGATGTGTTTTCCACTTTCACACCCAGGTGGTGAGAATGTGACTTAGCACAACCATTGTGAAAAACTGGTCTGACCTAGAAATGTCAAACATTTGAATACCTTATGGTCTAGATCTGCACTATTCAATATGGTTTTCACTAGCACTTGAAGTGTGAATAGTGCAACTGGGGAACTAGAATTTTTATTTAATTTTAATTAATTTAAATTTCAAGTCGGAGTCTCAAATCAGTTACTGGAAAATTTTAAAGTGTGTTTGGAACAATTTAGGCATATGGAGCTACTTTTTCAATTGTAAATTTTGCAAAATATAAACACAGATCAAGTGTTTATATTTATGAAAACTTACCATACAAACATATTTAAGTGTAAAATACATCGATTTTGAGACAGTATGAAGAAAATGTAAAATATTTCATTAATGACTTTTAGTACTGATTATATCTTGAAATAATACTTTGAATATACTGGGTTAGACAAAATATATAATTAAATTAACTTTATTTTTACCTTTTTAATATGGCTACTAGAAAATTGTAAATTACATATGAGCCTTGCATTATATTTTCATTGGACAGCACTATTATAAAAAAAACTCTTACATGCATGTAACTATATACATATATATATTTTAACAATAGATGTATTTTATAAGAATCTTTTTAGCCAGATTGTTTATGTGGCTAGCCCCAAACTGTAAACAACCCAAATATCCAACAACAATAATGGATTATTTACGAAAGTCACACTACAGAATACACAATGAAAAACTACATGCAAAAGTATGAACAAATCTCACAAATAATGAACAAGGGGTGAGTTTAAAAAATACATACACTTTGATCCCATTTATATAAACTGAAAAACCAGATAATTCATTTTTTTTTAGAAATGCACCATACATGGAAAGATTAAAGCGAAAAAAGTGAATGTTTATCACAAGTCAGGATAATGGCTATCTCTTGGTGGAGGAGACAGAATCACAGAAGCTCATACACAGAGCTTCTAAGGCAGTGTTTTTCAATCTATTCTTAATTCTTGCACCCCAAAGGAGTTTTTTCAGATATTTTTTTCCTTATCACATTCCTACTCCCCTCCCCCAATTAAATTGTAATACCATGGATATACTGTATTTATCTGCTAATGTACCATGGCTCTTTGGAGGGCCTCAAACCACTGTAGTCTTTAAGATTTTTTTCACCTCTCCTCCAAGAACCAAGAACCAATTTTCATCACTTTGAAGGATAATCACCTCTGCTGAGAATGCAAAGTTCTAAGTTATTGGCAATGTTTTCTTTTCTTTTCTTTTTAAAGATTTTATTTATTTGACAGAGACAGACACTGCGAGAGAGGGAACACAAGCAAGGGGATTGTGAGAGGGAGAAGCAGGCTTTCCGCTGAGCAGAGAGCCAGCCCCATGCGGGGCTCGATTCCAGGACCCTGGGATCATGACCTGAGCCAAAGGCAGACGCTTAACGACTGAGCCACCCAGGCGCCCGGCAATGCTTTATTTTCTAACCTGAGGGGTGGTTACATAGGGTTTGCTTAATTGTAATTCTTTAAATGTATTTATATTTTATACACCCTTCTGCTATTTCACAATAGAAACTAAAATTAGATAAATGACAAATTATGCCAAGGACTCAACATTGGATAATTATTTCAGTTTCAGAACTGTTCAGACAAAAAACAGTAAGTTTATTAGTTCAACAAAGAAAAAACATATAATCATGAAACTTCTAAAAAGCTAGCTACCTGTGTTTGGAGTGAATCTCTACTTTGGTGGAGATCAACTCCACCTCCACTGGGGGCTGGCATACTTTCCCTAACTAGAAAATAAAAGGATAATGCCACTTACAGTACATGTAATTTTATGGCTTATCCACGACTTTCAAGTATATATCCCAACTACACCTCATTTTTAAAATTGTGACTAAGAACATTAAAAAATAAAAGACAAGTGAACTTTTCGTGTCCCCTCCAGTCCCTGCACCTACTTATATGCAATTTAAAAATAGTAATCCCTCTAAAAATGGATGTGATTCTTGTACCCTGCTTTTTTCACTTTAACGTTACCATAAACATTCACACCAGAAAAGCCTTACTTAAAACCATACATGATTGTTGTGAGGCAGACATTGCAATTATTCTTATTTTACAATTCTTCGAGTTAGAGCTGTTCTGCGTTTATTCAATTCAGAGGTAAACCACAAGACACAGGGCGAGGGTTTGCGGGTGGGAAAAAGAGGGAAAAAGCACACGGACTTACAACAGTAATTCTCACCGCATCCTTCTACAAACTACCCCTCACTATCCCAGGACTTCATTGTCCTCTATTGCTAGTTCTTCGATCCCCTTCCCTCGAGATATATACTCTCAAGACCATTCTCCATTTAGTCTCCCCTTTTCTACAATCCCCAGAACAAAGTCTCACTCTAATTCCTAATTAAGAGGCCTCCCACCAACTCTAATTTACCTGACAGCACTCCGACCTCTCACGACACTCAATAGTCAATCCTCCAGCCGGAGCCAAGTGGAAACGGAAGTTGTCTCCTGGAGTGCCTTACGGCAGGAAAGCAGAGGAGCCATTTAACGTTCCGCACTAGGTCACAGATTCCTGGGCCGAGTGGAGAGGACATGAAGGGTGCTGGGTGCTGGAAGTCGACATTTTTCCGCGCATCTGTGCATAGGTGGTCTGACTGAGGTAAGAATAATTGTAGAGGACAGAATAGCAGGGAAGAGGCGATATTTTCCTTGCTTGGAGACCGGAATCCTTAGACACTGCACAGAGGGGAGGGCCGCGAACATGCTCCAGCCAATAAGTGAGGCAGTTGTTAGAGCGTGTAAGCACCCAATAGGAAGGCTGGTTGTTGCGCTGCAGTTGGCAGGCTGCTGCGGGAGGCGGTGGCGGTAAGAAGCCGGAGGCAGCCGGGTGACAGGTAGGCGGCGGCGCTGTCTTTGGGGGACGCAGAGTGCTAGATCAGGAGGGATTTTCTTCTTTTCGGGCTGCGGGAACTATAGAGGGCATGTGACGAGGGTGGTCTGGGAAGGCGGTAGCTGGAGTGTTGGTGGTTCCGGAACCTCGCGTAGACCTGGTAGCAGCTTGGGAGGGTCGTGAGGAGAAGGCAGCTGAGGCGGGTGGAGGCTGAACCTTGCGAGGCGATGTGGGGGCCTAGGGTGTGGGGTGCTGCGGTGGCAGTGGCAGAGAGAGGAGAGAGGCGGGAGCAAGACGATATCGTGAGGGCTGGAGGAATTCTTGCACGAAGCTCCAAGAGAAAAAAGGACGCGGCATTGCAGGCACCGGAGAGAAATCCTAGGAATTGCTTCTTATGGCCATTTCTCGGGGTGGGAAGGGTGTGTGGAGAAGAAACATATTTACTGGCGGTCAGATCCTTCAAACTCTTTATAGCTATACATTATGTAATCCTTGGCTATTATTTACCCAAACAACTAGATTGTCGCCCTTGGAAGAGGAGGTCTTGCAACCTATTGATGTGTCAGAATAGTTTTTTTCGTTGCTTTGAGTGCTTTCTACCTCGGCGTTATCGAAGAAGCATGAAGGATAGTGAGGAAAAGCTTATCCCAAATACGGACTTGGGTTGAGAGATACGTTAGTTTGAGACGAGCAGCCAGGTTCATGTTTTGCAGTTCATGAATTTGTTTTGAGGGTCAAGACTGATGATAAATAATTTTTTTTTATCTTCAGGAAAGTGGAGAGCTTCAAAAATCTATAGTAGAAGGTAAGTACGAGTTGGAAAATGACTAGAAAATTAGTTGCTAGATTCCCCCACACATACATATTGTGGATATTAGGGACTGTGAAAATAAGGTGGCGGTTTGAAGGGGGATAGGGTGAGGGAGAAGTCATCTTTTAAGTAATTTGCTTTTTACGTCTGATAAACTAGTTATGAATTATTTCTTAGGTTTAGAAAGTATGCTCTTTGAACCTCTCCAACTGAGGTAAAGTGTATTTACAGACACAATGAACTGTAAATTATTATCTTTTTCTGAGTTTTTATAATTGTTTGCACAATGGAATGTAGAATAAAATAGGAATTTCATTCAGTATGTGTTACAGAAGGACGAACTACATTAAAAATTAGATTTTATAGCACACTGGAAAACTTTAAAAGAAGCATTATAAATTGCTAAAATGTAAGCTGATTGAAATGTAGCCTTTAGCTGAGAGGGATTAATGTAGTATGAGCAACTGTATAATTTTCCTTTTTGTATTAATGATACTTTAATATTAGTATATCCCAGAACCTAAATTAAAAGATTCGTTTTTTCTGTAAATATCATTTGGCAAAGAGAGGTGGATCATTAAAGTTTGTTCTGAAATGTTGAGAGTACTGAGATATTTATTAAGATTTCAGTTAAAAATTTTGATACCTGGGTGTTTCACTCTGTCTTTTTACCTTTTTGCAAGAGTAATACTATCTCAGTCGCAAAGAGTACTTTCTATTTTAGATGGAATTCTGTAGTGTGAGTACCTGTAAATAAATCTCTGTTTTTGTGCAGGGTGGTTTGAGTGTGTGCCTGTGTGTTTGTGTGTTTCTGTGTGTATCTTCTTCTTATGTAACCAGCCTACTAGAGCTGTCTTAGAGAACTAAGGGCTGAGTTTGAATGGCCAGTAGGTGTCATTGTAGAATGCAACAAAGTTGAACATTGAGTAGGAAATTACCAAGTGATTTAAGAAACACTAGTCAGAATTAGAATATAATAATAATTGGCTTATGGGCGCCTGGGTGGCTCAGTTGGTTAAGCGACTGCCTTCGGCTCAGGTCATGATCCTGGAGTCCCTGGATTGAGTCCCGCATCGGGCTCCCTGCTTGGCAGGGAGTCTGCTTCTCCCTCTCCCGCTCCCCCCTCTTGTGCTCTCTCTCTCTCTCACTCTCTCTCTCAAATAAATAAA